TTCACCTCATGTACTTTTGACACGTTGCTAGGAGGTACTACTCCTTTACTCCTTGGAGAAGGATATGATGTTGGGAAGGGTGGAGGGTCGATGAAGGAGAAGAAGACCCTCAACCTCTGTAATGGGCTTTGGTGTGTCAGGAAGTGTGAAGATGGTGCAGGTCAGGACTGGGCTCAATTCTTTTTTTCATTGGGTCAATGTGAGTTGTACTCGACTCGACAGCACCTAACAACAACCAAATACTCAAATATAGGAAAGTGATTGAATAAACTATGGACCATCTACACAATGAAGAACTATGAAACTGTAAAATAAGAATGGGAATGATACTTAAAACTGATTCGGAGTGGTTGTCTGGGATATACTACTAGGTTAAAAACAAGGAATGAAAAAACAGGCAAGATCTCAAACCTTTTCATGATGAAGACATTCAACAAATTGGAAATAGTAAAGAATATTTTCAACTTAGTAAAGAATATCTAGGAAATAACATGTGATGTTGTTATGTGCCATCGAGTCACTTGTAACTCAGAGCGACCCTATGTACAACAGCTCTGAAGCCTGCCCTCTCCTGAGCCACTCTCTCACCTCATCCCATCGCCCCAGTTACTGTATCAATCCATCTTCTCTGGGATCTTCCTCTCCTGTGATGTCTCTCCACCCTTCAGAGCATGATGTCATTCTCCAAGAACTGGTCCCTCCTGACCACATGCCCAAAGTATGTGAGATGGAGCATCAAAAATCCTTGACTCCATGAGAAACTTGGCTTAACCCTCTCCAAGACAGACTTAATGGTTTTCTTTACAGTCTATGGTATGTTTAAGACTCTTCTCCAGCAATACAACTCAAAGGTATCAATTCTTCTTCTGTCATACTTAGTCATTGTCCAGTTCTCTGGTGCATGGCAAGTAATGGCAGAGACCATGGCCTAGATCAGTCACACCTCAGTCTCTACACTGACATTGTTGCTGCTCAGTATTGTGGAGAGGTCTCTGACAGCATATTTTCTCAGTGCAATTTGTCTTTTGATTTCCTGACTTCTGGTGCCAAGGGTGTTGATTGTGGAGTTGAGCAAGCTGTAATTATTAACAACATCAATCTCTTCTCCATCTATTACGGTGCTGCAAATTGGCCCAGTGTTGAAAATCTTTGTTTTCTTGAAGACTACAGTCCTTGACCTTCAGCAAGTGCTTCAGGTCTTGTTTAGTTTCAGTAAGCAAGGTTGTGTCATCTGCAAAATGTAGGTTGTTGATGAGTCTTCCTCTAAACCTGATGCCTGATCTGTTCTCCACTGAAAAGTCATGGAGACTGGATGTACCCCGACACACTATTCTCCTGGTTTAGACTGGATGTACCCCAACACACTATTCTCCTGGTTTTATTTCCCTGCTTTCTTCTGAGGACTGCTTCCTGGACTGAGTGTAGATTTTGCATGAGCACAATCAAGTGTTTTGGGATTCCCCTTTTCCTCAAGGTTAGCCACAATTTGTTGTGATCCACACAGTCAAAAATGACTTTGCATATTCTATGAAACACATATAGACATTCCTTTGTTACTCTGCTTTCTGCCAAGCATTTGAAATTGGCAATAATGTCTCTAGTGCCACAGCCTCTTCTAAATCCAGCTTGTATTTCTGGTATTTTTCTGTCAATGTACTATTTCAGTCGTTCATGGATAATCTTCAGCAGGATTTTGCTTGTGTGTGATAGTACTGATATTGTTTGATAATTTCCACACTCTGTCAGGTCATATTATTTTTGAAATGGAAAATAAATATGGACCTTCCAGTCAGTTGTCCAGTTATTCTCTAGAATTCTTGGCTCAACCAGGTTAAAACATCCAGGCAAGCATCTGTTTGTTGAAATATGTTAATTGGTATTCCACCAATTCCTGGATCTTTATCTATTGCCAAGTCCTTCAGAGCAGCCTACACTTCCTCCTTCATTACCACTGATTGCCTATGGATCATACGTTGTTTCTTGAAATTCTTATGTCAGCCAAATCTTTTTGGTAAAGTGACTGTATTCTCCTTCTATCTTCTTTTAATGCTTCCTGGATCATTCAATATTCTGTCTATAGGATCCTTAAGTATTGCAACTTGTGGCTTGAATATGTTCTTTAGTTCCTTCAGCTTAAAAAAGGCTGAGCGAGTTCGGCCCTTTTGATTTTCTTACCCCACCTCCTTGCATATTTTATTATAATACTTTGCTTTGTCTTCCCAAGCTGCCCTTTGCAATCTTCTATTCAACTCCTTAACGTCTTGATTTCTTCCTATTGCTTTAGCTTCTTGATGCTCTAGTGCACTATTTAGAGTCTCTTCTGACATCTATTTTGGTCTTTTCTTCCTCCATCTTTGTAATGACCTTATGCATTCTTCATGGATGGTACTCTTGATATTCTCCCAAAGCTCATCTGGTCTTTGTACATTAGTGTTCAAGGTCTCATACCTGTTCCTGAGTTGGTTTTTAAATACAGGTAGGGTAGACTCAAGATGAAATTTTGATTCCTGTGGGTTTGATTTGACCTTCTTTAGCTTTAATTTGAACTTGCATATGAGTAAAAATTAAATAAGTAAAAGAAAGAGAGAAATCCAAACCTAGTGATGTAGAGTTGATTCTGACTCATAATGACCATCCATCAGATTTTTGAGGCTGTGAATCTTAAAGGGAAAAGACTGCCCATCCTTTTCCTGCAATGGATTAGCTAATAGGTTCAAACTGCTGACTTTTTGGTTGGTAGCCAAACACATAAACCAGTATACCACCGCCATTCTTATAGCTAACATGATACTTGATAGGATCAACATTTTCTTCCTAAGATCAAGATAAAGCCATGGATAAGAAAATAATGCCTACTTTCTGCCACTGTTGTAGAACCGGACACCAGGGTTGGGGTGCGATAGAGAAAAATTGGATAAATTATGTATATTGCATTAAAAAAGATGAATGAGAGAACAATTTAAAAGCGATATATGATTGGGTATTATGGTTATGACAAGAGTCCAGAATGAAGGTTGCATAGTGGAGTGTACTCAGGGTGGGGGGGAGCATTGTATAATAATGAAAGAATTTTTCTTTTACTTTTC